AAGCACTACATTTTTCCGACAGCACTCCTGTTACTCCTGTCCTCAGTGGTGGCAGATGCCACAGAATGACAGCATGCTGATAAAGACATGGAATTAAACACGTTATTTTCTGTACTTTAGTTTCTGCACAGTTCCTTGATTTTAGGGGTTACACAGTACAACTGTGGAGGAAGTTGTGGTAACTTCACATAACTGTAGATAATGAGGTTGAGAACAGACCTTGAAAAGCCATCTTGTGCATCCCTCCACCCTAGGGTAGGATCAATGTCCCCTAAGGCACAGCTGCTTTAGCCAGGAAGCTCCTGTGAACCTCCCGTAACAGAGATTTCACAGCCTCCCCAGCCAATTCATTCCTGCCCTTAACTGTCCTTCTGGTTAGATGATTTTGGCTAATGCTTAAAGCAAATCTCCCTTGCTGCAATTTAAGGCCATTACCCCTCATGCTGTCCCAGGTGGACATGAAGAATGATTTATTACGTAAATTTCTGCAACATTTTTTTCATGCATTTGAAGACTGCTTTTATGCCCCTCTTTGGCCTTCCCTTCTCTAAAGTCACATGAAAAGATAAAAGAAAGCATTCAAAAGATAAAAGAAAACTAATGAACAGAATTTTAATTAGTTCCATGTAGCAATTTTAAAGCTATATCCTAAAAATAAAATACTTGGAAAGAACATCAGTAAACCATATTCCTCAGGAGGATAGAAGGAGTAATAGCATGCCAGCACAGTTGCATAACAGAGAAAGAAGGAACTTTGCAGAAGGTCAAATGAACATTACCACTGAACAAAGAGGCAGCAATTTCTCTGTACCTCCTTTTAAAAAAAAAAAAAAAGAAAAAAGTTCTTCAAGATTGATGGAAAGAATAAAGACACATATAATTTAAGTTACTAGATCCATGTAGCTGTCACTGAACTAAACGGCTTTGCCTGCTTAAAGACTTCAGGAAGGATGCTTTTGTACTTTAAGACTAGATTAAAACTCAAGAGACAAGTTTAATCCTTGGCCTTCCTTGAGACTGCCTTTGTGATTCCGGGAAACTACCTATTGATAAAGTGAGCAGTAGTTCCAATTATTTTCTCTTGAATCCTTCTCATTCTGTTTTTGTAGATGACAAAGCCTTCAGGCTGGTGGACTGTCTGTACTGAAGCATGCAAGACTGCAGCACAGGAGGATTCAAAGTCAGCAGAAATTTCTGACTGTGACTGCATCACAAAATGCAACACCAGGCTAGTAGAAAATGTAGTGGATACATCCTATCACAGGAGATGTCAAACTTAACTTCAAATTAATTTGCTGTGTCTGTTGGTGATGCTGGATCATGCTTATCTCCATGGGATGTACAGGTTGGCTTATAATTCAACACTGTAAAAGCAACAAACCTTCAACCCAAAAGTCCGCAGTATTCGAGTGAGAATATAGTTATTTTTGTTCCCCGATGATTATTTGAATAAGAAGCATATGGAGAAGCAATATGCTAGTGCTGACCTATGGAAAACATTAAATAAATGTTGAGATTCTGAGCAACCATAGGTTCTTTAATGCTTTTCTCCAGATGCACCTGTGAAGCATGGAAGTGCAAGAAATAAGGAAACATTTTTTCACAGACAACAGGCTGATGATAGCAAAGACTTGAAGAATGCCCACTCACTGTGCCTAAGCTAGCTCAGGTAGCCCTGTGCAGCTATGGAGGCATAGCTGAAGGGGCTGCTCAAAGCTGAAAAAAGACATCCATATGACATAACACGGAGCCAAACTTATGACTTCAGGCAAGAATACAGAAGACTTTTTGTGTCAGCACAGCTACTACTCTAGAAACTGATAGCAACACATCACCTGCCAGAAAATAACCATATCAGGTTTTACCTTGAGTGGCTGGATGTCCTGACAGGCTATGACTTACAAATAACATTTATACTATTAGCATTGCTTCACTTTATTCTGAGGAGAAAATGGATTATAATGTTCAAAGTTACAATGCTTCCTCTGGGTTTTTTTTTGCATTATCCTCATTTTCTGCATTTGACATATGAGACAAATTATTCCTCATTTTCCTACATACAAGTAGGACAAGATTCAGGTCCTCCTATCAATTTTCACACATGGATCTCCACCTCCTATTGTCAGCTAATAAGTCGTACTAAGAATTTGGTTGCATCTATTCCTTCCTGTGCTCGTTTACAGCTCTTTGGAGATTTTGCCTTTTACTGCTGCTCATTCATATGCTCTCTGGCAAAAACCACTGGTCAAAATCCACCTATTTTGTCTGAAAGAAATAAAACAAACTTCTAACACATAATGGAGCAGAAACCCTGGCAACCGAAGTGGCAGGCTTATTCTGTAGCATGCTGCTTTTTGGCTTCTTATGCACATATCCAACCTGAGCCCCTGGGCTGTGCATCATCCTGTTTGGTTGAGCTGCAGTTCCATTTACTTTGGTTGCCTTCCAGAGAAAGAATCTGATCCTCAGAAATGCTCTTGGATCCTCTGGAGAGGAAACAAGAGCATTCAGATCCCCTTGGAAGTCAAAGTGAGGACACACAGCTATTCTCTGGATCAAGCCCATGTTAGTGATGCTGCATCTGCTATCCATACACGTGCAGCAGGGTTGTTTAAAAACCTGCAGACAGTGACTGAGTCACTCAGCAGCTCACC